CAATTTTGTAGCAACTTGTTATGGGGGGGGGGGGGGGGGGGGTGTACTCATAGTCGTGCATGCCGTAGTCTTTAGACCACTGACCTCGCATCCCTACAAAGCCGGGACGGAGCACGCCGGGTTCTCACTGGACCAGAAAGCACCTGCTAGCCGCGTTCGGTACTGGAACTGCGCCTACGGGAGGGCAGGGGGGTGCGCTGTCTCGATATCGTTGGCTGCGATGGTCGAGAGCAACGACGCTGGTCGACGGGGGGTCTTGGCCCGGCGATGAAACCGCGCTTGTTTCTTACCAGCACCCACGACTTCTCGGTGCTGGATTATCCTTCTTTTTTGTTGTTCTCTTTTTTTGCGTACGCCAATTTTTTTGTTTGTTTTCGTCGGGCGGGTGGGCAGGGTTGCCTGGCTGACTTATGTTGGTGATGCTTTGATTTGGCGTGGGGTCGCGTGGTGTTTCTGACTTTGGTCTGCTACATACACGCGTCCACGCGGTCACGATGACAGCGGTTTTCAGGTGTCGTTATGTGAAGTCGGTTTCGCCCGTCACCCAACTTGGCGTTTTTCGTCCGTTGGAACCACTTGCAGGCACGTGCTAAACGACGTTTGCACTACCGCTGTGGGACCGTCGAGTGGTGTGAGCGTCGGTGCATCGCTCACGTGCTTGTAGTGAAGGAAGGGCGGTGTGTGTTTTCGTTGGAGGATTATTGTTCCGAGAAGCGAAAGCGGGGATGGTGTTGAGGCATCCGCGACCGCGAAAATATTGATTCGGGCGGGGGGTGGGGGGGGGGGGGTGATGTAAGCGTGCAGGAAGACGCCCTCGTAAAACACAGTGACCTTGCTTACCTTTTTTGGGAGAGGACACCAAACCCTGTGATTTTTGGGGCGGCGCGGTAATGCATCAGATATACATATAAATACGTGAAGGAAAGAGTGAAGCCAAGGGCGAGTGTCAAAGTAGTGTCGGGAGAAATCACGAATCGAGAGACGTCGCTGCAAGTTGTTTAAGAGGGCTAGAAGTGGGAGGTGTAACCCGGGGAGGGGGTGAGCAGTCTTGAGTACAACACCTGATAGTGACGCGTCTCAGCCCGCTGCTAGCTCCGTGGGCAGTGGAAGGGGGTTTGTGCGTGCTGGGGTGTGTTTCGAAGAATTAAAGAAAAAAAAGGATACGCACGCCGACGCCGCCCGCGATTCCACTTTCTTTCAACAACGGCAGTAGTGGCGTTTCGTTCTTGTTGTGCTCCAGTGTCTGGGGGGGGGAGGTGGCACGCCGAGGAAGCTTGGGCTTGGACAAAACGTCTGAATACTAATGAAAATAAATATGTTGATGCGTTGTTCTGTGGGTTGGGCGCGATTGGAGATGGCTACTAAAAACGATGTCAGTTTCATTTTTTCATGTACTTGGTATATACGTGAAAAAAAACAAAAAAAACGTGTGCAGCAGGCGTTTGTGTGGTGATAAAAGTAGCTCGTTACATTCGTGTAGAAGCGTTTCTTTCTGAACTTGTTTCTTTTTGAACTCGCTTTCATGTCTTCTTCCTTTTTCTCACTGCTGTTGGAGTTTATAGATTCTCCCCCGCGGAATGTGTAACGCGCATGGTATTGACCGTTCGCGTCTTGCGCCTTCTGGATAGAAAAAGTGTAGAACTAAGGAGTGGCGTGAGTGACTCGCTTGTTGCCACAGACACAACACACCTCCGTTGAGTGGGTGAGTTGTGTTTCAGCCTACTCGATCGGGCGGCGCGCGGATGGATCACCATGGCTTAGATCATATGATGAGATACAAGCAAAGGAGGATTGACTCTCACTGCTGGTGCTGCTGGCTATCGTGTGTTTTTTCCCCTGTGGGTTCGTGCGTTGTTGCTGCTCCTCGCTCTGTTTTCTCCCTGCCGGTCGAGGTTCATTTTTTTGTTTTCGTAGGAGATTGTGTGAGTTGAGTACGACATGCAGAGAGGCAACTCACCTGTTCAATGTGACAGTCAAATCACCCGATCATACGTATGTGCGTGCTTCCAATCATCTGAGCCACGGGCGAGCTGCGGTGTCCCTCAACCGCAGGCAGATTGCGGCCTCCGCAGTACTCCATGGGGCTACGGCTGGCCGTTGCACTGACGGCACTTTGCTGCCGCGCTCACCACACAGCAGCGGCAGATATTGCTGCCGTCTGGTTGATGTGTGGATACTTTCCAAGGGGGAGCTGGTGCACAGCCACACGCAGCGAACGCAGTCAGTCAAGGGGTTGCCGAAGTACTGGGCATGAGACCCCCCCACCAACGGTCATGCTCTACGCTGCTAACTGACTGCCCGAGTGGACGAAGCTCTTCACATGTTTCTTTCAATGTGTTTTCCTTCGTTCTGATGTGCTTGCCAATGTACCCGGCATTTACTTGCTCCCGGATGAATGACGAGTGGTGGCATACAATCCCCTCACACAACCAGGACATACATACACACATCGCCGGGTCCCACAAAAAGATGAACACGGGATGCGCAAAGGGGAGGGGGCCGGGGGTTTATACCCTCGCGTCAGCTACACGTATGTACGCTTCTACTACACTAGGTATAGTAGACGCGACAAGGGAGCACACAAGCGCCTCGTGTCATGCACTTTTTTCCTCCCCACAATAATCATAGTGCCATCTGTGTGGCCTCCTTCTTCGTCCTTATGAGCGCCCCAAGAGGACACGACCAGTCTCAGAATGGCATCCATCCCCTCTCAGACGCACGTACTACGTGTCCGAGGCGTCGATTATTTGATGCATCTCCGGCGTCAAGGAGCACCCATTTTTCCGGCCATTTCTCGTCTCTGCACCCTGTGTGGGGGAGGGAGGGGACAACCAACCCACTCTTGTTTCCTCCATCCGCCCCCTCCTTCCGATAACTAACGCAATATTCATATATAATACCGCCACCTACAGTTGTTCCCTACATCCCGAAACACAAGGAAAAGGTAGACTGCACGCTACGCACACATGCACACACCGGCTATTCTAGCGGAGGAAACCTTTTACGCGCGCGGGTGTGTTCCCGTCCCATCTACTCCAGTGTAGAATGAGTACTGTACACCTTCAGGTGTTCTTGACTCATGAGCCGGGATCACACAGCAACAACATGAAGATAAGAAGGTAACACAACGACAGTCTAGACTATTCTACACACAGGATAATAGTTTTGACTCGTTCGCACTTTCGGGCACAAAAGTGGGCTTCCCGCCCTCTTCCTTGGAAGCTTGGCCTGGCCGAGCTCGACTTTTCATCCCTGATGCCCGTACCACTCACTCACTCACTCACTCTTTTTCTCGTTTGAGGAGATACGTCAATATCATAATCACAAATGCCTTATTATTAGGATGGGAACATACCGTCATGCGCCCTCATGAGGTGATACACTTTGTTCGTTCGTGATTCTCCGACGAAAAATGGCATTATTCTCCGACGAAAATTGGCGTACCTTTTCAAGGGAAAACTGAGCTCCACAATATTCAAGAAAACGAAATTCACTTTCTTCACACAAAAACCTCTTGGCTTGTGTTCGAAATCAAGAGCCCTCTGTGACTAAGGACTTGACTTGGACTCAACATTTGAGGATGGCAAGAGTTTTCTGCCTCTCAAGCCAGTTACTTTTGTACAATTATTGCCCAACAACACACAAAACGACAAACTTGCACCGCTCGCTCACGAAAACACCGATAGAAAGCAATCAATCATATTCTGCGTGACATACAGCAACCCGTCGGTCCTTAATCGCCCAAATCTAGCCATCAGTGCTTGCCCAGCGTCGTCACCGCCGGTCCACGTTGTTCATGCCGAAGGTTCCAAGATGCGGCGCGACTTGTCGTTCTGCAGACAGGCCTGTCTCATCGCCTGTTGCATGGGTGCCTTCATCGAATGATGAGCTCCTTTTCGCCCCACCCGTACGGCCCCTTGTACTTGTCGAAGATGCGGCGCAACTCCGCGACGAAGAGGTCGTGGTACTTGTCGATGTCTGCCTGGGTCGGCTCCCCCGCAGGCTTTGTTGTTTTTCATCCCGGAAGCACGTCGTCGTGACGTTTGGTATCGGCCCACAGGCAGTGGGGGGTAGGCCGGTCATTGGGGAGGGGGGGAGGAGGATGAACGTACGGCATGGTCATGGGGAAGACACTGAACACTGGGGGACGAACGACACAGAAAAAATTACCGCAGGGCCTGCTTCATAGGTTCCGGCAGAAGTTCCTTCGCTGTGCTGCTGTCGAGAACGTACACACACATGGATGTGGAGCACACCTACCTCTTAGCAAATCAACGTGATGGTCCCTCGGAAAGATGACTGTCCTATACCCTGAAAAACAACCGAGCGGTTTGTCTCACATTCGCAAGCACGTGGGATAGTCGGAATGACCCAGCGTACCTTTGGAACGACGATCGGCCGCCCAGTCACGACTAGCAGGGGCTGTCGCAATATTATCGGGAGAAGCATTCGCCCCCACACCAGCAGCAATCCGAACCCCAGCTTCCGCGACAAAGCCCTAGGAGAAGGGGGCCCCGCGGGGGAAAACAAGCGGCAGGTAGGCAGCGCATGGCCGGGGTGGCGGCAGCGGGCGAGGGGGGGACCCAAAGAATGTTCGTATGTTCGTATTGTGAACCAAAAAAAGTAAAACCTACAGTTTCGTACACCTCGGGATTCAGGTTTGGTGCTTCTTTTCGCCTCGACGCACAGCTCGTTGTAACGCAAGGGTTGACCGACCCATGTCTCGTGATTCATGCCTACCGCAATCCCCGACGAGGAATGCCGAACCAAGCGCGAATGCCGAACATGTTATGTGCGCTGCAGTTGCGTCGTCGAAGCACTGAACACCCCCCCCGTCCCTGCTCATCTCGAAAGAGGTGCGGGGTGGTCGATCGACATCATCTGGTTTCGGGCAAACAACACAGCTGGGTATGTACCCTCCCTCTTTCCTGATGGTCGAAAGACCGAAGCGTTCATCTCTGCTTGTAGTAGGGGGTAGTTGGATGCCCCAAGTATTTGCTTTGATCCCTGTGGTCATGCGCCATGACGATATATATTCCTCCCAGCGATCTCGATAGCAAGCGACGATTTCGGCCTCTTCGATGAAGCTGGCCGCTCGTCAAAAATGCCACCTTAAATCGTCGGCGTCTTCGCTTGCTTGTCGCTTTCGAACCTGAGTATGCCGTAAGGGTCCTGCCACGATCGAAAGATGCGGGTGTTGCCGAAGGTGTAGCAGGGCACCAGTGTCGTCCCCATGCGCAGGCTCAGCTTGACGAACCCTTTCCTGGCTCTGTCGCCGTCGAAACCGCAAAGTCGAGGCACGGCAGCAGCGGTGGGTGGCGACGGGTAGCCACGACGCGCAAAAATGAAGAACAAGACGGGTGTATTTATGAACACCCAGCGAAGAAGATGGTGGGGGCGGGGGGATTTGCGTTCGAATTGCGTTCAATCCCCCGATCGAGAGGTCCAACCGCTAAAACAAAATAATAGCCATGTAAAGTGGTGGTCCCGATATACCGTGTACCGTACCGCGGTCCCGAATAGCACGGTTCCCGACATATCGCGGAAATAACCCATTGGCACCCGACAACCTAGCCGACTACGAGAAAAAATACAATTCAGGGACCCTCCTGCAATAGTTCGGGTCCCGACATAGCGCAGTTATTTTTGCCTATCCCTACACCGCGGTATATCGGGACGTGCTATTCGGGACCACGGTACGGTGTATCGGGACCACCACTATCTATACTGGGAATGAAAAGGATGCCTTTGAGAAAGTGAGTGTGATATGCTTCAGTTGTAAGCGACATGACCGATCGTGGTTTGCTCCTCCGGTGTAGTAAGGCGTCTTGTCTCACTTGAGGAAGAGCACTTCGTTGTCGTTGTTGCTGTCAAATATCTCCGCCACCCCCCCCGGGCAAAGCCCGACGCTCCAGCCCTCGCCCACGCTGCGAGCCACCTCCTCCCTCCCGGCGCTCTGGCACCCGATCCAGGCCATGACGTGGCGCATCAGAGGAAGCCTGCGCAAAGATTGTGAAAAATAACAAAGGCAACAAAGTTGGCTTGAGGGAGTAAAGGTAAAGGTAAACACATCGAGGTTGACTTGAGGGATGTGTTGGCGAGCTGTTAGCAGCCCGCGTGTTGGTGGTGGTCATGCGGCGAGGAACAGCGCGTGTTGCATTGAGCAACAGGAAGATCATACGGGATTAGGAAGATCGAGGCAATTGTGCACAGCAGTATAATCGAGCGGTGATGCAGGACGAGGCAAAAAGAAAGGCAGCAGGACCAGCCAGCCCACAGCTCGCTGCCAGCTGCCAGTTTGGTTGCGACGTTTCCCAAGCTGCGAAGCTTAACTTACCCAAAAGATAAAAACCTGTAGCATCTGGAATAATACAGTCTTACGTGCACAGAGGCAAAAATCCATTGCACCTCGCATCATATGTACATGTACCAATCGCATTCTCATTTTCCTATCCTCGAGCGCAAGCTGCACTCCACCTATCAATGCAGGAGGCAGCTGGTTGCATATGTTTTCGTCTGTTCACCTCAAGGCGGCGTCCGTGGTGAGTCCCTTGAAGCTGAACCCCCATACCATCGGGAAGGAGAGCATGGTCACCAAGTTGCCGACCTGCCCATCGTGTCCGCCCGTCCGTCGCACGTGGCAAGCAAGCAAGGGCACATTGCATCACACGCTATCATAGTGCCGCTCGTTCCATCGATGAGCCTCAACCATTTGCGACTAAAGTCAGAACCACTCATGACACTGCTGTTGTGTGCACATCTGCACCCGCTCGTGTCTTGCCCGACCTCGTTTCATGGGCTTGAGGGTGGTGTGCGGCCGTGCGAATGTGCCTCTGCCTGTTTTCCGGTCTTCCCTCGGACACAACAACTCGGACGGACAACCGCGGTACTGTACACCCCATCTCAGGTTTTGTTGATTCCCATGCCTGAGTCTCTGCTTCGCACCGGTAAAATGCCATGAGGCGGCGCACACAAAAAGTACGGCCCCGCAGAAGCCTCCAGCGGAGCTTCCCAGGCGAAACAGCACGACGTATACCGGAAGATGTGAGGCGTTATCCTGAAACCGGGAGGAGGGCGCAGGGAGGGGGGTTCGGTGGTGGCATGGGGACGGGGGGGACGGGGGACGGGGGGGGCTCATGTTTTGCTTGCCTTAGCGGTTAGACCATTGACCATGCGTCCTCGAGAGAACGTAGCAGCATTGTTCCCACAGGACCGATCACCGATGGCCAATCGATCCTTGCTACTTTGCCAAAGGTGGCTCCAAAATATTTTCTCGATCCTGTGTATCTATCCTGAGTGGGGGGGATGCCTTAGCCCCGCGATTCATAGATATCACATCCCGACAAAGCTGGCACAGACCATGTCCGGGTATCCATGAGCAATATCATACAACGGAGGCCTTGCGTGCGGAGGAAGCTGAGAGTAGCTGGGAAGGGAGGAAGGGAGGAAAAGGCTGGTAGGATAGAGGGAGGTGTCTGACAAAAAGAATGAGCGGAGGGACCCTGGGTGGGCCGCTACAACAACATTAACCAACCTCGTGCGAAACTGGGGCGGAATCCTGGTGACACCGAAAGAGATTCAACACTACGGCAACCAGCTTGATGCTGCCTCTCTCCCTCCTTCTCCCTCCCTCCCCCCCCCCCCCCCCCCC